AAGGGCTACGCCTTGCATGTTTTGGAAGTTAAAGTTATTCGATTAATTTAGTGAACAACAGCTGTCAAGATTTTTGTTTACTTATTTATTACTAGCTGTGTGCCCGTTCTACGCACGGGGATCTTATCATAGTCAGTTAAAACCACGAATACTAGAAAAATACCGGTATGGATCATAAACATAAACAAATGACCTTGTTGGCCCGAATCCTATACTAATAGCATTGAACATATGTTTTGGCAGTTCCATTTAAGCAATGTTAAATAATGGTTATTTTCGGGCCAAAAACGTCATTTGTTTATGTTTATGATCCATACCGGTATTTTTCTAGTATTCGTGGTTAAAACCTTCTTATATAAAGCACAGCAGTTGGTTTGCATACTTTCAGATATGCTGACAAAACTATTCCTTCGCAAATACAGTATCTGACAGTTTCAAGCCAAAACTAATGCTTCGCAATTAAATGTCACCCGGATCTTGTTGGTCCATATGTTATATCCAATGATTAAACTAAATAAACGGTATCAGCATTCTGACACATACTTTCTCCCATAAGTTTGTCAACAACCTTTATCATGTGTAAGCGGTGAGAGTAAATATACGGAAATGGGATTTGTACAATTTTTCAGAATTTAAAGGACTATAACATAATGGTTAAAAGTATTTAAGGTACTACCTCAACCTCTTAATTTAACACTTTATTCGGGTTGACATTTTCATTATCAAGGCGCTCTTGTCCTTTCCGTGAAACATTGAGAAACAAGGACATTAATGCGTTACCATCATACATACACACAAAAATACCAAACTTAATGAGGGAATCTGCTACGCTTTAAGCATAAAAAGGTACATATAAAATTAGTACTTGAAATCTTTGTTAATGCCATAAAATTTGATCATAACAATTTATATTTGCTTGGACCGGAGATGACTCGAAATTCTGTCGAAATGCTATCTGAATCGGTTTGCTATATGAAATGAAGTACAGTAGGCCTACTATAGACGTTTTAGATTGGTAATTTGTAATAAAAATTACCAAAATATGCCACGAACTATTGATACATAAACAACGTTCAAAGTGTTTGAACAATTCATGATGGTTTGCTGAATAAATGTTTTACTAAAATGCGTTATAGTTTTCTTAGCATAACATTTTGGAATCCAGACAGAAAAAGCAAAAATTATACAGTTAAGACATCAATTAAATTGAATAGGCCTACGCCTGTAATAAATAAGGTGCAACACCAACGATAACTAATTTGTAAATTACTGTGATGTGTTGGTACGTACAAATGAATCTTGCTGCTACTAAAGGTTAAAAGGAAAAGAACCAGTACCGTACCAAAAACCAACGTTTACAGTTAAGAACTGTAGTACAGCCGACCAATTATATGCGTTAATCAAGGTTATTGATCTCTTGGTTTTGGATTTTCTCGTAACAAGTTATCGGCAATCAAAGTTATTTCCCATTAATTGCTTTATTTGTACACAACCTTAATGTAAACTTATCGGTGTCAGTTTGAAAAAAAACCTTATACAACATAACTTTCTGTTATTTAATAGATTACGTATTCTCTAAACAATGTTTGCTGGTATACAAACATTATAAGGAAATGTGACAAAAATCACACAACGTTGGGTTTTTGGACGTTTATAATTTTATTTCTTAAGTACCTAGGTAGGCCGTGTATTCTGGAAAAGTACCGGTATCAAGAATCGTTGTCGAAAGGGTTGTTATAAATAATTGGGTAAGCATACGTACCACACGTACCCAAGAGAAGGGCTATGGGCCTATTGGCTGTATGGTCCAGCGATTGCATCACACGGTGAGTAGATATAGTCAATGGTAGGAACAGAAAGTGACACATTGGAAAATCGAGTTCAGCATCATCCGTAAACCTCTGTTACAATCACCCACTGCAGTTGTAATTTTTTGCTTTACACTTTACACAACCGCCATTGAAGAGCCGTCAATGAGTGGAACATGGGGTTTTATGGGGTGAAAATGTGGTTTGTCCCATTTTTGACCCTTAAAACAAAAAAAATAGCAATTTCTTTTCAAACCGTATTGTAGAGCTTAAAAAAAATAAATAATTTAGTATATTGAAGTGCTGTTGTATGCCTAACGGTCACGGAGAAAATTCAAAAATAGTGTAATTTAAAATTCCCATGTTATTCTTATGGAGAAAATGAAAGTTGTTGTAGTTTACTTGTTTATGGATATATATCGATACAATTTTGCAAATTTATTTATTTCATCTTATACTATTGACGTATGGTCAAAAACACTTTTTACCTTCCCCGTAGCAGCAAACCAAAGAACTCGTTACATATAATGTTATTGAAATCCTACTAATATTATAAATGAGAAAGTTTGGATGTATGGATGTATGGATGGATGTATGGATGTATGTTTGTGACAAGTGAACGCGAAAAATACTGGTCGGATTGGGCTGAAATTTGGCATGATGATAGCTCACATTCCCGATTAACATATAGGCATATTCTTATTTCAAAAATCCTTTCGGGCTCCGCGCCAGTGGCTCTGGAGTTTCCCATGTTAACCTTATGAGAAATGGAATTATTGAATCTTAACAGCTGTTTCAATTAAACAAGTTGGTTCTGTTCTATGATGTTCAATAGCATTAAAGTTACAAGGATTACCAACAGGGTGCAGCACTATTATTTCTTTTACATTTATGACAACAGCTAATTTGCAACCAAAAGGTGAGTGAGCGTAGCGAACGAACTTCAACCTGGAGGCGAGTTAGCGTAGCGAACGAGCTAACCTGAAGGCAAGTGAGCGCAGCGAACGAGCTCCAACCTAAAGGTGAGTGAGCGTAGCGAACGAGCTCCAACCTAAAGGTGAGTGAGCGTAGCGAACAAACTTCAACCAGGACGTGATTGAGCCATGCAAACGAGATAATCTTGAAAATTAAGAAGTTAAACGGGGCAAAGCCCGCGGGTTACAGCTAGTAGGGAATAAATATGTCTTATTTATGGAAATATTTTAGTAAAAATGTAATCAGACAAGTTGAAATTCGCTTAGTCTGCAGGTTTGCTGTGGCGGGGGTATTTTCATTTTCTTCCGACTTCTAGCGGGCGTTCCCTGCGTATAACAGCAATGCAAATTCAATTCAATACATCTTTAAATAGCTGTCATTTTTGACTCGATTGTCCGTTTGAGTTCGGGTTTGTGGCATTGTAATACCTTTGATTTGATACGCATATCAACCTATGTTTTTTTTTAGATTTTCTTCTGACTTCTGGCAGGCTGTCCCTCTGAGGAGGTAGCGCATCACTGAAAAATGTTTTAAAACGATTTTAATTCCCAGGAATTGTTTACCAAGTTTTGAAGCTCTATCTTTATTACTTAATGAAATATTTAACCGTCCCGGGACCATCGATCTTTATTACTAGCAATAGAGATCGATGCCCGGGACTTTTCCTGCACTGTATAAAATAGGCAAACATGATTTTGTCGTCACAACTCCTCGTGCTTTCACATCCGATTTTGTTAGTTTATGGCTCATTAGAGAGATCTCATTTAGTAGAAGTCATATAAGGTCTTAGCTGTTTAAAAAGTCACCTGGACTCTGCCCCATTGGCTTTTAAAGTTTTCATGTCTACTTGTCTACATATAATGATCGACTGGATAATTTATTTGCTGTTAATATTTTAAATTACAATATTCAAGGAAACACGCCTGTGTACATACATTTCCTGACTTAGTTAAAATTAAATATTTACTTATTTGAATGTAGGTTTGCGTTTGTATTATAATGGAAACAGCCAAGAAAGCCTAGGCAATTTGAGACATTATTTCACCAAATAAGAAAACTGAAATGACGTAGTTGTATTTCTTGAGCAATAAAGAACCAAATTGCAAATTATGGTAAAATAGAAAAGTAATAGAACGCTACCAAGTAGAAAGAACAGAGAGATGTTTTATTGAGAATTTTCTATGGTTAGTAGTGAAGCAAATAAAACTGTTAAACAATAAAATATAATTTGAAGCAGATAATGCAGGAAATCGGGTAGTAATTTGAACAATGTTAATCGCTATTTAAAAAGTCTGCATTTTGTAAACAAATACTGGTGACAATAGTGGTGCCATAGATGACGTACAACATGTACAACTTTATGCAGCTATAGGTGAGTCGGAAAATATTTGTAGAAAACGCTAAAAACAAGGTCGGCTTCTGAAAAATTATAAAACATTTACAAGAAATGTTGATTATATCGAACTGTTACGAAAAGCGCGATTATTTTCATTAAATAAGATTTTAGTTGAGTCTTTTAAACACATTGAAAATTATGACTGTTATTAGTTTTAAAATAACTCCTGGTAATACAGGTACTTGACAATTGCTCGATTTCGAGCAACAGGTACACTAGTCCCTTTTAAATATGAATACTCATAAGAATAACATGGAAACTTTGAAACCCCGTGGGATATGCATGTGTTTCTCAAGACTGTATTTCATGACTCATGACTCTATTTCATGTAACTATATGTTTGCATATTATGAAATAAAGATATTTTGATTGATTGATTGATTGATTGACTTTAAAGTACATTTCTGCAAAATGTCAGCTCATTCGGTCCAGGAGTTTTCACGTAAATGGAACTTCAGAGTTATACACAAACACCCATACTTTCTCATTTATAGACTAATATATAATAGGATTATTTTGGAGCGTTCGAGTACTTAATAATCCAATCATCAATTTCTTTAAATCATTCTAAAATGTCAACAAGGTCCTACGTCATATTTCCTCTATTACCCAACTAGTTTTTCCAAAGATTAGGCCAGCCCTACATCAATTTGATAGTTTTAGGTCGAATTATTAGTTCATGCATTTTTGCTCCAAATACCATAGCTACATCTGGCAAAATCATTGCTTGAGATCATCCCAAGTTTTTCACGTAGTTCCCTGTATCGCCGCTGCGGCGCTAGTGTCTACTTTGGACCATTTGTTTCAGTGATGCCCGCGCGCTTGCCGCCTCGATTTTGGAAATCATGTAAGTAAAGAGTTTGTAGTCTGTTTCACTTTATCATATTTTAAAATACGTACATTAATTAAGCCATTAAAGATAACTTTTGTATTTATAGTATCTTCAAATTGTACCATTTTCTTCAGACTTTGAAATGTTTTTTCTTATTGGAGATAAATTGTGATCTCCATACAAACAGTGATAGCAAGGAATATTGGTTTATTTATTCTTTTATATTAAGAATAGACAAAATCGTAAAAATTAATATTTCTCTTTCGTAAATAATGTCCTAATGTAGTTACTATGCAATTTTAGTACGTATTTCAATAATAGGCTTATGTTGATTGGATGGATAGCTAGTGTGATTATAGTGCTCACCTTTGTGTCTGATGCTCTCTAGGTATAACAAACAAACAAAAATCTATACGTTATAGTGTAGGGAGAAATTGATTAAACAAAATATTTCTTGCAGATGCCAACATTCGTTGTAATTCACCAAATTTTGATCAAAACAATATACTAATATCTATGAAATTGGCTTCGCAAACAAGCTAAACCAAACAACAGAAAGTCCAAAAACATTTGTATACTCAAATTAGCATTGTCTAACAAGTAAAACGTGTAAGTATGTACGTTAGTAGTCCGACTGAAATTTGCTACCGAGATAGCCTTTTGAAAATGTTGTTTAAAATGTTATTAATCAATTCAGAGAATAAATCAACAGCAAATGCTTAATGTTTACTCGAAAAGTAAATAAATCGATTAAAGCATTCCATAGAGTAATTAATTAAAAATGTAACAACAATGATGATTATGCCATTCGTAACAGCAAATTTATGTAATCGTCTACCAATCGATTATTTATGTTGACCAATTGCTGAAACATAAATTTTAATTTATTAACATTCCGTTTGATGGAGAATTCAAGAAAGTTATTTAAATCTTTTTCAGTATGCAGATTTGTCGCTACAGAGTTTCCCATCGCAGTTTTTAATATTTTAAGTACAGGAAAGATCCTCAGTACATCTAAGATGTTTGTATTTCAACTATGTATGCAGTTTTGGTTGTCAAACAATTTTAACAAATTTACAAGAAGTTTGTCAATTTTTATTTGACAGTAAAGGCGATTTAGTAGATTTGTTTAGGTTTCTCAACCAATAAATATTAAAATAATTTTTTTTTAATTATTTAAAATTCAAAAAGACATTTGAAATTCTTAGAGATTTTAACATATAGAAAGCAGATTAATGTTTACGTCCATATTAAAACGAACACCGCTGTTAAACATAGTTTATAATATTTTGTAGTCTGTGACGTATCCTTGGGTTGATCGTGACTATAAAAGTAAAATCTCTATAATTATACCTAGACAACGTCTGTCTAGTGGTCTTGTTGACCCGTAAAAATATGCCGAAACTTCACTGTGCTGAACAATTTGGATTTTTTTTATTTTCTAAAAAGTGAAAACAATTTATACCGGTACGTCAGTTTTTATTATTAATTATTTATTTTTTTCCGTAACTGGTGTTCTTGATCACGCAAACTGTAATGGTGGTGTAAAATATGAAATTTTTCGTTTATGTTTAAAACGATGTTGTAGAAACTAATTAATCGTTGAGATGCATAGCACCGTATATGTTTTATTATAAAATTATATACAAAAATGTGTGGATAAACATGTACTTGAACAATTCATGATTAACTATTAGTTTTATTTAGAGAAGTTAGAGGAGAAAGCTTTCAAACTCGATTGGTTGTGCGTTGTAAGCTTTCGGGGTCTGTGATTTTTAAAATTTTTTTTATAAGAAACACACCATTTTATTTTGACAATTAAATGATAAGTTGTTCAATGATTTTATGTAATTTAACTTTAGGTACGTTATTGTCTCCAAACTGTTCTAACAAAATTTTCCGTAAAATCTATTCAGTAACAAAGATTAGAACCACAAAAGATGGTCTTTTTGCTTTCTAAAGTGTGGTTTTTGCTAGAAAGCAGCATACATTGGTGGCTAAATTACGATTGGCATCTTGGTCAAGATTTAACCCGCTCTGTATCTAGCTTTCTCTCCACGGCTACACAGTCAATATTATTTATCTTAACTATAAAATACATAAATGCACATTTAAATTCTCATTCAATAAATAGACCAAATCTAATCCTACCAAATCCCATAACTACCGTAACATCTTCAAAGAAATATAAAAAAGAAAAAGATATTAAAAAAGAAAGTAAGAACACCTTCAAGTATTTTTATTAATCATGTAATTTTTGCTAGTTCAGAAATCCACGAATTTCCCGCAATCTAAGGGAGTTGCTACTAAAAATTACCAATTTTGTAGCATTTTTTTTCTTTTATTGAAATTTTAACCACACATTGTTTATACTATAAAGCTGCTTTTGTGCATGGATATTGTAATAGATTAAATAAAAAAAAAATACTTAGGAATTAAAATAAAAAAAATATGAAGCCATAACTCATAAAATAATTGAGAAAAAAATATGAGTATGTACAAAAAGTTAGTGCTTTTCTTGTTCTTTAAAATGGGATATCAAATAATAAAATAGGTTCAGTAGTTAAAAAGTTATAAGAGGTTTAGAAAAATCCACATTTTCCCGAAAAAAGCTTAAAAAAACGTATAAAAAGTTTTTAAAAATATTTTTTTTACTTTACCATAGCTAAACATTTTTCTACGACTAAATAAACACAAAAAAGTATATATGATCATTTTCAAAAGGATTAAAAACACTAGTTTCAGTAGCGACCCCCCCCCCCCCCCTAAGACGAACACACCTGGGAAGATTAAGTGTACAACAATCCTTAGCTGGATTACTCAATTTTCCGGTAAATGGGGGTTATTAACATAATATAAACCCAGGATTTGAACGTACTCAAATCGGAATGAAACGTGAACGGTCAAAGAACAAGGGAACCGAACAAGCAAGTGATAAATCTAAATAAAGGACGAGACAATGTCCTTGTCTTCTTGAACGACTAGATGAACAATCACTTGGAATTCCTAAGGGATTTATGACATTCTTCGTACCAAGGACTGTACGCTTGCATTGTACTCATAACAAGACAATTGGTAGTTGTGTGTATTCAAATTGATAACTAAATTTACCTATCGTAATGTTTACATACACAAACACCATTTTCCATTAGTTTCTGAAGCTCCGGTAGCTAAAATAATGTTGAAGGACTGAATATGTGGGAAAGTATGATGAATAGAAATAACCCTGCCGCAGCAAACCTGTAGACTAAGCGAATTTCTTTTTACCTCTCTGGATTTCTACTAAAATATTCCCTGAAAATTGTCAGACTTATTTTAATGAGTACCTAGGTGCTACAGGGAAGGTATTGAGGTGTGTTTTTTATTAATGTTGATAGCTTAGTATTAAATAAACAAAATTGCCAAATTTTATTAAAATACATCCATAAACAAGCAAATTACAACAGTTTATTTATTCTCCAGAAGAATACCATGGGGGTGTTAAATTTGAAGTTTTTTAATTACCTACGTAACCGTTAGGCATTCAACAACGCTTCAATATACCAAATTATTTTTTTAAGCTCTGCAAAATGGTCTGGGTGAAGTTTTATGTTTTTAGAGTCAAAAATAGGAAAACCCAGTTTTTAACCCATAAAACCCACTATAAACTCCTGTTCCATCATCATGCTGGTTCGCGAACTCGTTCGAATAAATGTAGGTTTACACGGTTAGTCATCCTTATATGGCTATGTAAAATTTAGAGTCAACATTGGATAGTTGAACCCCAAAATTGATTGAACTATGTGTTTGTAGAACAAAGAAAGATTAGCTTCTTCACTGACGTAGTTCTGTTTAGGACGAGTTGTTTCCGTAGCCATGGGCATTTATTAAAGCTTAATGATAAAAGACAGCTGAGTTCATGTTTCAAACCAACAATAAGCTACTGGCTTTTTTAGCTTTTTAAGGCTTTTTGCTGGATCGAACCGGCAACCTTAGTATTTTTCATAGTGCGCCACAAAACTAAAAGTGCTTCCATCGTGATCGCTGGGTTAACAATATACAGGTTAACTTTCCTAGACTACTACGCTGTTGCCGAGAAAAGTCAAATGTTCTTTGAGTTTCAAGTCTAGCAGGACATTGGTCGAAAATTGAACGTTTATATGCAAAGACCGCAGTCTGACGTCATTCGATGTGATTAAATTAGTTATTCATTTTCGGTTCATTATTACAAGATGGTGTTAATCTAATAATCAATGGCTCTATTTTAGAGTTAATGGGCTGAAGCCATTCAAGCATATTACTAAATTCCAAAAACCGGATGAACTCCATAATATTTTAAGTGCTAAGTTATTAGTTTTTTAAGGGAATTTTAATTTATAGTTTTAATTATTTTGCATTCATTAATGCTATTCATTAATGCCGATTAATATAAACTTTAAAGTATATACAACTATTTACTATATCGTAGTACTACGGCATCGAAAAACCAGGGTGCGAGTAAAGGATACGTGTTGAATAAATTGTATGATTTCCTCATAACCGACGGAATTAAGATCGGATGTATCTAGTGTTGAACCATGGGGGAGCGAGCTGGCGTAGTGGTTAGAGCACGGGACTTCAGTCTCTGAGGTCCCGGGTTCGATCCCCGCCAAGTCACCAATGGAATTTATCTAAGTGATAATGCCGCAACCCCTAGGTCTAGCCTGAAGTAATGTGAAAAACAATCCCAGGCTCGTGCCTAGCGTCCTTAGGACAAAAAAAAAGTGTTGAACCATGAAAAAGCTTCTGGTTATTTTTCAGGATCGAGTTGACGACCTTTTACTCATTAGGAGACGTTGTAGCCTCCACCTAACATACCTAATCTATAGAGAGAGTTGGCGGAATTAAGCAAATTTTCCTTAAGCAAATACAAAATAAAATACTGTAATTTGTTAACCCTAGATAATGAAGAAATGGAATTGTGAAAAGTCTTTATGTTTGAGATCAGTATTCATATTGCAGGTTGAAAAGATGTAAGTACTAGGTATGGTTGATCAAAGTATAGTTCTGCCATAAATTAATGAAAAAGCGTTAAAATTTTATTTTTGGCCACCATAGGTAACATTACCACATCTCCATAGGTTTAGCTTAACAAAAGCATATTGGAAATATAATATTATCCTTGTCTAACAGTCTGAACGGGAACCAAACTAATGGCAAACCAATGAACAAATTAGCTACTAAATACATGCTCACTCCATCCGTGGTAACGAACACAACCAACGGAATTTCTTGCGAGTGTAATTGGTTTATTATTGATGTGATATTGGTTTTGATATGGTTGTAATGAACTAATTATCACAGCGTGGCGGGTTGAGGTTTGCATATGTGAGAAACCGGTTCACCTCAGTCTATTGGTGGCCGAGCTTTGCTTTAGGAAGGGCCTCAACCTATGAATAATTTCCAAACGCTGCCACATATACGTAGCAGATGCGAAATATATTTTAAAAATATATGTTTTGGGCCTACGTATCATATGTAATACTAGGTGTACAATGCAGTTATCTGCTTGCAATATTGAGCGGAGCAAGCATATTCATCCAATACTTTTGAAAAAATTTAACTAATCCCTGATCGTTCCAAATGGGCTTGGGTTCACATAAGTGGGATGTCTACCTGCAGTATCCAAAGTCAATGCTAAGTCTGGCTCAAGTAAATGAAATGTCTTTTTGCAGTACCATCGATATAGTACTCAAAATCAATGGTACTTCTGGTTTACGCCAATGTGCTTGCAGTATCCTAACACAATGGTATCTTTGGTTCACATTGATGGAATTCCTATTTGCAGTACCTGTTCAAAGTCTGCTTTAATGGTACGTCTAACCACGAAAATGGAAAGTCTACTTGCAGTATCCAAACTCAATGGTAGGCCTTTATTTGGTTTACATAAATGGAATGACTATTTGAAAGTCAATTGTGCATCAGTCTAGTTCCTGCAACCCTGATGATTTATTATTGGTTTTTCATTTTGTAGTAAATTATGCCCAATGATATTAATCCGATTGTTCTTCCCATTTTCTCTGTAGGGCCTACGGCATTTTTGTAATGTGTTATTTTAGATGTTTCGAATAACATATGTTGCGTTTCTTGTTTACCTTTTTATTGTTACATCGCAAATAATGGCGACATCTTAACCCACAATGTTCATCTTACTAATATTATAAATCTGAAAGTTTGTGAGTTTGTGTGTGTGTGTTTGTGTGTGTTTGTGTATTGCTCAATCACGCACAAACTACTGGACGGATTGGGCTGAAATTTGGCACGATGATAGCTCACATTCCCGATTAACATTTAGGCATATTCTTATCTCAAAAATCCTTTCGGGCTCCGCCCCAGTGGCTCTGTAGTTCCCCATGTTAACCTTATGAGTATTCATATTTAAAGGCAATTAAAGAATTTAGTCAGCTGTTTCAACTTTACAAGTTGGTTCTTAGGTTCCCCAACAGGGTAAAAACAGGGTGCAGCACTATTATTATTTTGTTTTTGAATATATGACAACAGCAAATTTGATCTAAGCAGCAACAAAAAACTGTGATACACTATGAGAACTGTCAAAGTAGGATTTTTTAACAGTTAGGTTTGAGTTTTTAATTTAATGAATAATTTGTGATAGTTTGCGAATGTTTGATAATTAATTTTTTTCTATTGTTTAGGTTCAGTGGTAGAACATTATGGCAATAGTAGATGTGTTGTACTATATCATACCGTAAATTTATGAACCAAATTTTATCAAACTGTGTCCTACTCCCATTGCAAACGCAAAGCTTGAGTATAACTGCAATAAGCATTTTATCCTTAAAGTATTAATATGCAAACCCCGTAAGAAGGACGGGTGCTCTGCTAGTATTTTTATAAGTTTCAATTCACGTAGGGCACTTAGCAGACGGTGGCTAAAGGCATCACTTCCACCTCTACTTTGTTTTTTTCACCAGACAACCGGTTGGATTGTTTCTAGAACTACTTGTTCTTATTGTTGACAGTTTACATTTACTTAGCCCGGTAGCTAAATTCGGAATACGGTAAGCTATTGTAGCAGCTTTCGTAGCTACGGGGTTACCCGATTTCACGTTATGAAATTTGAATCTATTTCTATTTCTGCCAGCCCAAGGCGTTGTAATTTGTTTGTTTGATAATAGATTTTTTACTGTAGAATCACGTGTAGAGTCGGATCAACTTCAAGCGAACGCATTGTAATTTGCTGAGTCAAATTAAGTTAAATATTTTAAACTTAATTAGTTTAATTTTATTTTTAATAATACGAACTGTAAATTTGTTAGTAGTTGAATTTTTTTACTAGAGCTAACATTTTAGTTTACACACCTAAGTAGATATTCCCTGTGCATAGTCCACCAGTAGCAAGTTTTTAAATTAAAAAGCAAAATATCATAAAATAAAAATAAAAATATTAAATATAATAAAAACTATATTGGCGAGTCGGAGGCTCAGTCGGGCCCAAGGCAGCGATTTCGTGGGTCCTGATCCTGGTCATTGCCGCTAAAGTCGATATAGTTCACCTTTGTACTGTACCGGCTCACTCCTTGCTTTGCTGGATACGTTCCATGCACGGGAAGTCTATGGGAAAATGCAAGGTTAAAAGAGGCCACAAACCTCTAAAAAAGAAAAAAATAATAATAATTCATAATAATTCGGATATATTCACACAAAACTCAAACTCGAAAATTTTTACGAAAACAATACTTTCTCCATATACTATGTATAGGGGGAGAAAGTAAAAAAGAGTCTTATTACAAAAATATTGACAAATTCATCGCCAGTAAATTGCATACACTTCTAGTAACATCTTGCAACTTTAATTTTACTCAATATTCTCTAGGCTACAAATTAACACTGACAAGCCAATTATTCCCTGTCAAAACTCACGATTTATTCTGTATACTGTTGTCATCCTAAGGGAAATTTCGTTCTGACGGTGGGAATTTTCGTGTTTTAGGAGCCCGGAGGTGGCAGCACTGTGCATCCTGCTCACGACTTGTTCCGGTCTCTCTGGTAAGTCGGCATGTTTGAGCATGACTCAATTTAAATATCTAATGATGTATTGTTTGGGAACAAGCACCTGACTGACTTTGGTGGTATATTGTTCCAATTTGTTTAAAGTGAAAGTAAACAAGGTTTCAATTTGAATTCAATAACACACTTCAGAGTTCATTTTTTTGTAACGTCCCTAATTTGTATCCCCATCAGAATAGTTTGTTTATTTATCGTATTCACAGAAGATTCTTACACTGCAATAAGCAGTCAATTAAGACAAACTTAACTTTACAGGGAAATTCCACTCCCCACCATTTGAGTGCGGGTTTCATGTAACGTAAAACGATTGGCCACATATGTAGTTGGTTTTAAACAACGATCTTAAACAATTTTATCGCCCCTGTAAATGATTTTTGTTTGTCCTGATCTTACTACAGGATTGTTTCACGAATCCCAAATTACAGAGATTCACTGTTCAGATGGGATTTGTCAAGGGACAAACAAGCTTTATGTTGGTAGTGCTGCTTTATTTACTTCTCTGGTGATCAGCTGATTTTCATTTTTGCATTGTTTGTCAATATGGCTTTGTTATATTGGCAATAATTGTGCTACTTTTGTTTCGTTATATACTAAAAAGCATTAAGATTTATATGGGCATTTTTTATATTACCAATAAGTTGTGAATGCTGTTGTATCCAATTTAAGATTATTATTTGACATTCTTTTTCCTAAGATATCTAATTAATATGTACTTGTCTATGGCACTTTCACGTTTTTATAAAAAACAAAAAAAAACAATTGAAGTTACCATTCTAACCAACATTCGCAATGTTTGCTACTTCTAGGTTCGGTTCGTTATCCAATTATATACGATCTATAAATATAGAAATTTGGACCTATGTTTGCTATTTTTATCTTTATTTTTTTAGGTAAAAATATTTAGCAAACAGATTTTTCAGATAAGAACAAAATGGAAACGTAAAAAAATATATGTTTAAATTGGACACTTTTGTCTTGGAAATTTGAGGACACCATTGAGCTATCATGAAACAAACATTTTGGGGCTACTTTACGCGTAACGCATTTGAGAACAGTTTTCGATATATCGATTGTTGAATATCGACGTTCTAAAAAACTTTTGTAAGATACTCAAAATTTTCAATTTTGTATAGCATAACTGAATAGCCCTCCTTGTATTAACCTATGCACTCCCAATAGCCAACACTGCCCGCTCAGCTTACTGACATGTAACCAATTAACATTCTAAACCGGACTTGTATTTATTCAATATTGATGATTGGGAACAAGCAAAACCGGTGAATAAACCATTGAGAAGATAGCATCGAGGAACTAGATCGTAAACAAATTGACTCTGGGTTCGGGCTGACCTTAGACAATAATTCCAGACCAAGATTTGTAATAAAAAAACTATAAGGTCTTAAAACTATGTAGGAACTTAAAGAAATCTTAATGTAGTTAAACTATACATTGTTTACGTGACTAGACGACATCGTTGTAACTTGTAAGTAAATATTAATTCTTCGTAGTTAAAAAAAAAGAAAAAAAAACAAGACAAGAATATCCACTTTGTGATTGCTGACATATAAATAAACAAAATTAGAGTTTTGTCTGTACATTGCTCAGAATTATATATTTTGGCTATGTTTACGTTTTATACATTAAAGAAGCCGAAACAAGTCTTATCTAAATTTCTGTCTGTCTGTCGGCCTGTCACGGCCCAGAAGGACTTTTACGCGGCCTTCTGAAAAACGAGAGCATCGAGAGGGATTCAAACAGTCTTTTTGTATTCACTGGATTGGCGAGAGTGTCTTTATCCATTAAAATATGACCTCACTATTTGAAATAAAATATTGGACGTTCAAAAACCCAATTTTGTGCGATTTTTGTCAAGTTTTCTATTAAAGTTTACCATATAATACGCCATTTATGAAATACTCATCTGTTTGAAGAATACGACATCTATAAAGTAACGAACAGCTGTTTGGATAAAGATTATTTTTCTAGCTGTCACTGGATATGTTTACATAAAATGTTGATTACAAATACTGCAACCGTTTCCAATCACGTTTTGTAAGAAAATCCAAAACCAAGTGAAATTAAAAACGTTGCCTTACACAATAGACTTTATTAATCGCAAGTACAATGACGTGTAACTGTAAATTAAATTAAATTTCTAGACATCATTCAGGTCGTTAACCAAAGATTCTATGTGTGCGTATAAAATTCAACTTGAGTTTTGATAACCTGGGAAAAGACCCTGAAACAGTGATGTATATGAAGTTTTGCCTGCATGTCTGGGAAAATGCACACTGCCATCCAACTGCTGTTCTTATTACAAGAAGGTTTCAACTGTCTAAAAGATCCCTCCGTAGAACGGGTACACAGCTAGTGTATAATAAGGTTTAACGACACAAACATGCTAAGAGTGCACAGAATTAACAATATGCAATATCACAGAAAATATACTACTAAAACCGGCAGTATCGAGCTTCTTCAGCATATTTACATAACGTAGTCATACGCTTCCAATAATGAGAATCACAAGGAAAGAAAACTAACCAAACTTTGTACAGATTACTGAGATTTTAAAATTATAAAATTGTTTAGTGACTGTGGATGAGAAAGTCCAAGATATCATCGAAATCGAGCGAAACGACACTGAAGAATACGACTACACCCAGGACGATGGTAATTTTTTTTTAATTCTGTCTATCCAGAAAGGCTATTTTTAATACATGCGTTATAATCTATGATTAAGGTGCTTACAATACTAGAGTTCTAATTTTTATAATTTAAAGGTAATTTCATATAAGGAAACATCATAACACATTATCACATTTAAGTGTCAGACACAACATTTGCAAAGGAGTATGTTTAATGTTTATGGAAATATCACGAATACTATAACAGAAACAGTATGGATCACAAACATAAACAAATAATGTAATGTCGGAATATAAACTTTATTTAACATTGCTTAGATAGATCTGTCCAACCCATAAATGCTATTAGTAGACCCTGTAGAATTCGGGCCAGCAACTCATTTTTAGCGAATTTCCCCTATAGGGAATAAGCTATTACCGTAGTACTCATGGTAAGACCTGGACCCGGGACCGATTTAAATTTTCGTTTTGAGGTCCCTAGAGACCAAAAATACCATCCGTTCAAATTCATATATATTTATATATGTGTCCGTTTGCACGAAAACTCAAGCAAAAATCATCCGATTTTGATGAAATTTGGTAGAAACGTGTAAACTTACGTTTATTCGAATGAGTTTGCGAACCAGCATGATCGGACTATGGGAACAGGGGTTTATGGGGGTTTTATGGGGTAAAAATTGGTTTTTCCCATTTTTTACCCTAAAAACTTAAAATTTAGCAATTCCTTTCCAAACCATTTTGTAAAGCTTAAAAAAAAACAAATAATTTAGTATACTAAAGCGTTAATATGCGCCTTACGGAGAAAATTCCAAAAACCTGTACATTTAAAATTCCCATGTTATTCTTATGGAGGATAAGTAAACTGTTGTAGTTTGCTTGTTTATGAAGATATTTTGATCAAATTTGGAAAATACATTAATGCATTGATTTCATACTAAACTATTACATTTTACAAAAAACACCTTTTTACCCTCCCTGTTGCAGCAAACCTAAGTACTCGTTATACTAATGCTATATAAATAGGGAATAAATGTGATATTTCTAAGGATACATTTTAGTGTGAATCCAATCAGGCAAATGGAAATTCGCTTAGTCTGGGGGTTTGCTGCGGCGGGGGTATTTTATGTTTACGGTCCTTACCGGTTCTCTTCAAGTGTTCGTGGGTAATATCAAAAATAATATATGGAATCGGAAAGGCTCAGTCAATAACACAATATTTATAATTTGTATTATTATATTACTGTTTTAGGTAGAAATGAGAAAGCAAGCGCTGACATATCGTATCTCAGCTTCTATATAGGCCACCGACACATTCCGAGTCCGTCCGGTCGTTTTTCGTCTAATAAAAGCACCATTTGCATCAATTATACAATCTTGCTTTGATTTAAACCGTTTGCTCCACTTATTGTGTCATACGTTCTATAGATTCAACCATTAGATTGTTTGCAATCACGAAATTAATACATACTAGTGTACATGTTGCTCGAATTCGAGCAATTGGAAAGTATTACAGGAGTTATTTCAAAACGAATAATAGTCATATTTACAATGAGTTTAAAAGAGTCTACTCAAAGATTACCGGTGTGTAACTCAGACCATGTTTAACTTCGTTATTGATAAACCTAAAGCATTCCGGCCGGCTTTCTCCTTCTCAAAATGTCTTTGTAAATATAGTTAAGTTATAGTATATTTCATCACTGGGCCCAAAGTGACTCTTTTCGACCCGAGCTCAAGTTTTTTTTAGTCTAAGGAAAATGAGTGAGGGTTGAAATTACACCTTTTTTCCGTGTGATGAACTATATTTTTCGTCATATTGTGCCATTATCCATGTTTATCTCTATAACAAGTTATGTTACAAAACTAAAAAAGTTTTCATTTAAATCCTCTCAAAACTACTTCCAACTATTTTCAAATTAATTTTCTAATGGAAACAAGCAGCTGTTTAGTGATTGAGTGATTGAATCGTTACGTCTAATACGATTAGTGTACATTATAGGCTACTATCGATATGTCGATTTATAATAAGATAACAAATAAATACAATTAATTGATTAAACAATCGATACATGCAATTTTGTTTACAAGCGAAATTTACAACTGAGTTGACAACAGCTGATTTTTACTCCAGGGGCTAAACCAAGGCCCCACTAGAAAAAGCGCTAAAAACGATTTTTACTCCCTAGAAAGTAAACATGCTACTATATGACGAAAAAATAGTTAAAGCATTGTCTATTTGAGGGAACCAGTAAATGTTAAATGGAGTATAAAAACCATGGAATCACAATCAAGATCTTTGATGTTTGAAGGCGAAATGACGAGACGTCCAGAAACGTCTGTGTACTCCGTGTGACGTCACTTACATAAATAAATCTCTTAGGTAATCCAATTTTACACACTCCCTCACCCGCCACAATAGGTCATTATGGAAATTGGAGAGGAAAAAGAATAAAGAACGGCCAGGAATCGCAAGCATGCGCCCACACCCTTGCATACAACCACAGACTATAAACCCAATACAACTTGTATGGTAGAATTTAAGAGAGTACGTCCAATCTATGGTAAACTTCATTTTGTTTGAGTTAAGCCTCCGAATCACTGATCAATACACGTGTACTGGTGAAATTACCTGCTGTCAAGTGATCCTTGTGATCACTATGGTCAACGTCTGGAAGTCGAACGCTACGTTGCTAGGTTAGGCTTCGTAAAACAAATAACTTTGATATTTTTAACGATGGAATACTATTTTACCATATGCAAAATTCAACTACTTTCGTATTCCTGAAAACAACTACCAAATACCATTGAACCCCAAAAGGAATAATAAATTGATATGAAATAGTTGGGGAGAGAGCTGGTCTAGGGTAGAGCGCGGGGCTTCGGTGCCCGAGGTAACGGGTTCAAATCCAGCCAATCACCAATGGATTTTATCCATATGATAATGTCGCAACCCTCTAGAACTAGCCTGATGTGATGTGCAAAACAGTTCCAGGCTAGAACTGTCGTCATAGGATGTGAAGACCCTAATGTGATTTAATACTAGGCAAAAAGTAGTTAACTAATATTTTTATTTGGACGTAATTGTAAAATTACCATGTATATTTAAAATAGGCCAAATAAATACAATACATCGGCGTACTTTACTAGATATACCACCTTAAAGCATATTCCTTCTTCTCCCATGTTTACTATTTACTTCTCCCTTTATGCCCCTCTTGTTCATCCATCTACTACAACCTTCCTTTCTCCACCCATATTCGTAATAGTACCACATTCATCATTCTTTTGCTCCTCATTACTCTCTATATCAGTTTTAACCACTTTGCTTGAAAACGTTAAACAATAACAATTAAATCCCATGTTTACAACCACGCTATTCCTTAATCTTCTTCCATGTAACATCTGTGTTTGCCACTCGCCTTTATTTTCCTACCTTTTCCAGTCTCCCTTCATTTTCCTCACTTCTCTGTAAATGTTTACTTCTCTCCTTTCTCCTCCTATTTTCACTAGCACACTCCAATTTCGCCTGGCTTCTCATCTTCTCTATGTATATTTTCAACTCTCGTGTCTTCTCCCATGTTTATGATTGCACTCTCCGTACATCTTCCTTCTTACCACACTCTTATTTCTCCAATGTTTACAACCATATACTTACTTTGATCTTTACCTGTTTTTTTCACCACTCTCAATGTTTAAAATACACAATTCCATAATCTAGCTCCTTGTCACCTCTCTCTATATATTTACGAATCTCCTTTCTTCCCCATGTGTAGGCTACTCTCTCCTTCCATCTTCTTCCTCGTCACCTGTCCTGTTATTCTCTCTTCTTTCTTTTTCAATTATTACTACCACTCTCCATTCATCTTTGTCCTTCTCACATTGCCCCTAGATTACGGCGGAGTCCTGGGGGAGGAGATGGTCGGGCCTTGTGCAGACTTCAAACTCGGCGAGGACGACCTGATGGCCTACGACTTCATCCGCAAGTTCCATCTGGACACCCCGGTTCTGCAGATGCCTGGAGTGACCAGAGTACGAGGATCCAACAGAGTCCAAGTGGCTTACAGATTAGATAGGGACTCTGATCTCGTACTACCTACGAGGTAAATAGTCTGACCTTGAATTATGTGAACTGTTGAACCATGTGTGGTGAAATATATTGGAGGAAACTTCAAAAATCTTGAAAGAGCAAAGGCTAGCAAACAAGGTAACGAATAATTCAATTCTCTAGTTCTTGTCACTGGGAAAATAACTAAAATCACATCTTATAACTCCGTAATTTAATTATAAAAGATAAACCAATTTAAATGTGAAGGAAAGTGAAGGAAACCCCAAATTACTTGATAGCCTACTGATGTTTCATAAAAAAAATATTTTTGCCCTTAAGTGTTAGTTCATGTTTTTACTAATAATCTTCGGAAAATCTATTAACTCTGAACTTCATTTTGATGTGCCATACTTATAATTCTATTCCATTAATGACCTTAAACGATGAACACGGATTTCAATATGTTACACTATTCAGTATTGAATGTATTTTTATTTTTTTTTACATTGAACCCTATTGATGTTGGCACTTCGCAGTGTAAGCCGTACTAACAGGCTCACCAATCGGATCCATCCGATTTCGAAGAGATATATCTTACAACATTGCACAAAGCATATGCCATACAGTACATTGTAAACACTTTTACAAGATAATATACTAATTTCACAGGAAAATGGACCCAGACCCAGAAATTGTACAAACCAAAATGCGTGGATTACAAGGCTACTTAGTTTTTTTTTTAATATCTAGTTGATGTATTTGGGTATCATCAGAGTCAAAAGGCATTATAACAGCAAGTTAGATTCTATCAATTTAGTTACTTCATTGTGGTTTTGTTTGATTGATTGCAGGTTTACTCTCAATTCATATTGCTACATGAGTTTCAGTTAATGTATTCATATTATAATTCAATGCAAATTTAAACGGAATCGATCAAAATAAATCACCGATGAATATCTGATAGATCTGTGTGGGGGGTCTGAAATGGCTTGGAAACGTTTTGCGAATACAACGAAATATATTTAAAATAAGAAAATCAATACATTTGAAACGTTCTCCTTATTCTAAACGTTGAAATTCCCCTAGTACCATACGTATACTGTACCTTATAGACATTTGATTTTCATAAATATCTCCCCATTGGGATTGCACCAGTAGTTTTCCTTTTCCGCACTTTGAAAACCCCCTGGCACCATACAGATACCTTTCAAACGTGTGATTTTTCATAAAAATTTCTCTTCCTCTATTTTTTTCTCCTCCTCTATTGGGCCTTCAGTGGTAGTTCTCCAAGATGTATGGAGTAAAAGTACGTCCATGTATGGAGTAAAACCTTTACTCCATACATCTTGGTAGTTCTCTTTCTTTTGCACTTTTGAGAGCTCCTGGTACCATAGTTATATTTTTCAAACATGCGATTTTCAGAGAAATCTTCCCGTTTGGCCTCCCACGGCAGTTTTCCTTCATATGCACCTTCAGGGCTCGCAAGGTGGCCAAGAGCTCCTGGCACATCCTGCGAGTCACCGACCTTCTTCAGCGACCGCAGTTCCTGGTCACCCTCAACCCTCGCAGGGAGGCGGTGGAATTCTCCATCGTAGACTTCAATGGAGACTTGCAGACCTTGGTGTTCACCAAGACTCAGGTATTTGGTGACAAACTTTTGTGTGTATATTTTAAAATACAAACTTATTGCAGCAAGAGTGTTAAATACTTTTATCTTAGTCATTTTCAAAACTTAATAGCCTAATCGAATTATAAAGTTGATATTAGCTCTCCAACTAATAACAAATGGGGCTTAGAAGTAACGTTGTTCTCTTAATTTTAGAACAAAAGTCATAAGAAAAAATAAAGTTTTTAAAATATTTAACGTAACTCGATCTTTCACTTGGTACAGTATGCACATGACTAGCATGACGTAATAGAAAAGGCAGTGGCTACGTCACTGTTCGCAACGGCTGTCTAAATCATTACGGCAAAGGTCACGGCCTCTTGAATGGACTTGAGATTTATGCGGCAGTGGTAATGAGTCAATAACAATATATCTGACAGGCGGTGGCAGTGCTGTCATCTGATTCGCCGCTAATATAGAGAGCAGCTGACAGGGAATAACAGCTGATTTACAGGATTGCCAACTTACAAACCGACAGGCGTGAAATTTCCCACCAGCGGTGGCGATAAGTCGGTCCAGTGCGTTTCGGTAGCTAATCTGCCAAGATCCGATTGGGTTTTTTAGTACCTGTCAACACTTTGGTCTTTTTAGAGGTTGGATTACCGCTTGCCAAAATACCGCTTGGTCAAAATAACCACGTCATTTGCAAATTTACTTCAGAAAACATTCTTAGCTGCCGTGCCGTGTGCGGCCTTCCTGCTTGAATTTGAGAGGGGAGTGCGCAAAATAGTCCGTGATCTATGAAACTGGGAGCTAGCCATTAGAAATTCTTATTGCAAGTCATTTGCGATTAGGAAACAATAATTATACAGTACTTGGAGTGGAATAAAATCGTGTAATCCGCCAATCTAATGAAGGACTTGCAAAAGCGTCTACATGTAATTGAGGTGTTCAAAGAAATACCTCAACATCTATTTAAGCCCTAAATAAAATTTGAGAAATATTATTTGCCTGTACACTCTTAAAAATGTAATTTTCTGTAAAATCTTAACTCGAGATACCTACACATAAGATATACACGATTTTAAATCAGCTATGAAATGTTTAACTTTTACACTGAAACTTTCAGTCTTTAAATGACTGTGGATCCTGGTAATGGCAGAGAATACAGTTATGTTCTAGCTAGACTAACACATACACGAACATTTTCGCTACTGTGAGATGCCGACTAACCAATTTTTTAGGACAATTTATAGTGATGTTAATTCAACGCTCGAAATCCTAAACGAATCCAATGATATTTAAATTTGCCTAACGCGTATAAAGTAGTTCCGTTCGCAGCTCTATTGTCAAGCAAATTCGAGGCTGCAGAATAAACTTGTCACAAATTTTACGAGATTTTATAGGTGTTTTGGCCTTTGACCTTTCTAACTGTGCTGATGCTCCTAATCCACACTAAGCCTGCGTCCACGTTACACTCCTATCCTGAACATATTTAAATATAATGCAAATTGGTTTAGCTGGTTGAAAATGAACTTATTCTGTTTCCTTGATTTAAATTATGAATCTCTGGCCGCCTGATAAAGATGTTATTGTTTGGAGATACATCCGCTTGGTACAAACTCAGTATAGGCTAACCTCTTTATCTGCTTTATGCAGCGTTAGACAAAAGTATATGGACACCCATTATCAATATTTTAGTGGGTTACACCAGGAAAACCAAACTCTGTACACTTCTATATGGCATAAAAGTGCACTTTTTTGGTATCCAAATTTCGCTCGAAACCTCAAAATGGATAATTTTGGAGTAGAGGTAACTCAAAAATTTAAATAGGAAGCCCTATCAAGTGACCCATAATTTTAAAGGCCATTAGTTAAAAAATATCGGTTTTGGTTGTGTTGCTAGCCTAGTGGTTAACGTCTCGGACTTCGGTGCGGGAGGGACGGGTTCAATCCACGGCACATCCACTAAACTTTAATGGGTTTGGACTGCTTTCCCTTAAAAGTGTTTGACTTCTTTACATAAATGCCACTGGCGTAGATACAAGCAAAAAAAAGAGAGGTTATGTTTTCGTTTATAACCTCTCATTGCCACTGACACTGACAGTGATGCAACGAAACATTGTACCAATCACTAATTGCACCACTCAACAATTAAATTGGCCTGAACAGCTGAAGTTCGGATCATTTGAGTTTTACTTCTTCTCTCTCAATCCTTGAACCTCAACCTCATAACAACTAACACAGGTAACGGACCAATGAGGTTCAAGGATTGATTGAGAGAGAAGAAGTAAAATTGTATGCTTGCTTAATTAATTATGACAACTGACAACTAATCAGCTGTTTGTTTAGACCAATTTAATTGTCGATGAGTGGTAAGTGGTGCAGGTGCAATTCGGGAGCCCTGGCTGCAAAATTAGTGCAATTAATGCCTGCTGCAATTAATTAGTGTTTGTGACGATTCGTTTCATCATTGTCAGTAGTGGCATTGAGGATATAAACGAAAACATAACCTCTCTTTTAGAAGCCATGAGTAGTGATTCAGTGATTGTTAGTAATAAAAAAACTGTCATAGGTACCTAAAAGAGGTACACGCAGCTCGCGTCGCGTTAATAGTCTATAACGACACTCGTAGAAGTTTTTAAAGCACTCGCCAAGGCTCGTTAAATTTTCTACTCGTGTCGTAAAGATCGTAGCGCAAACTACTATCTTACTATTGAAACTTCTTTATTGATTCAATGGCAGATGTCCTTCCGTTCAATAGTCTAACAACATTTCTAGGTCAAAACTGAATTGCAATGTAGTTTGCTGTGTTATGAGGGGAACCGGTAAAAATAAGAGCATTCCGTAGGCCTACTTGATGACTTTTCCTAATTAGTTTTATTTTTGAATTGGTATGATGGTTGTTGGTGTTATGGTATAGCCATGGAAGAATCAACACAAAAATAAGTAGTTCAAGATTCAAGCAGATTTATTGAGCCGTTCGGTTTATAACAATTGGCCAAGTCACTAACACTAAACTAAAATACAAAACAGAGATGCATTCCTCTTGATTTACAAAACAAAATGTCCAAAGAGCACATACAAATGTCCAAAGAGCACACCATGCATAATAGATAAATAATAAAAAACTGTTAAAAAAAAGTTCCCAAAACATTAGAATACAAACCTAATAATTTTTATTTGTATTAGGTAGCCTATACTTTTATTCTAATTTGTTTACTTTTTAATCTTGAGGCAGTGCTTAAAAATATGTACACACCCCCTTCTCATCAAATGCCTGCAGACTAAGAAAAGTTCCATTTGGATCTGACTAATGTATTTTCACTAAAATATCTCCTTGACGCTTGACTGTTTGAACATTGGAGACATTTTGTTTTTACTAATCAAAAACCTTGTAAAGCTATGTTGAAGTATACATTTTATCCTATGCCTCTTTCTCTCAGATCTTTGACAAGAACTGGCACAAGATCCACTTCGGCGTGTTCGCAGACAGAGTTGTTCTCTACATAGACTGTGGTCTGCTTAGCACCGAGACGTTGTTACCTAGAGGGCCTATCGACGTCAACGGCAACATCAGCGTGGCCAAACAGGCCAACTCTAGGCATACGGTGCCGGTAAGTAGCAGTGCTGGTCAGTGGTTGAACAGGCCAACTCTAGGAATACATTGCCAGTAAATATTAAGTTAGTGGCCAGTGGCCAAACAGGCCAACTCTAAGCATAAGGTGCCGGTAAGTAGTAGTGGCCAAGTGCCCAACAGGCCAACTCTAGGCATACAGTGCTGGTAAGTAGCAGTGACCAGTGGTCAAACAGGCCAACTCTAGGCATACGGTGCCGGTAAGTAGCAGTGGCTGGTGGCCGAACAGGCCAACTCTAAGCATACGGGGCCGGTATGTCAAATAAATTATTTCCCCAAATTTTAGGGTAATTTTAAAATTTCCAATTAATTATTTAGATGTTTTAGAGTACCGGTACAAGTAAGTTAGTTGTTGCGAACAGATAGCTTTGTTTATTTCAATTGGCTAATCAAACAATAAATGCAGTAATAAAAAAAAAAACGCCCCGACATAGTTCTGAGGTTTAGCTGATTTTCTTTGTTTTGTTTCTAGGTGGATCTTCAATGGATGCTGCTCAGTTGTGACCCAACGCGGCCCACCCGAGAAACTTGCGATGAGCTTCCGGTAAAACAGAATAACAGCAATCGAACACTTTAACTTAACATTTTACTAGAAAATCCTGATACTTAATAGAGTGTACTATAGCAGTTTTACACAAAACCTAGATGTAATGAAACTTCTTTCTTTTGGGCAATTTGATATATGTTTTCTGTACTATAAGCTACTCTAAAATAGAGAATATTTTTGTGAACAGCGTTGGAAATCAACATGGCACATTAGTTTCATAAATACCTGTTTGGACATTTACTTTGTTTTACAGATTTTTAAAACCTTCCGATGGATCCGAAGTGACAGAAAATTATAATAATAACTGTACACTAGCTGCCAGGTGTCACCAATTTAATTTCCAATTAAATTCATACTAGATGTCCCCAACAATAATCAAAAGTCAAATTTTGTCAGACTTTCAGTGCATACTCAACCCGTTTAGCGCCTGGACTATATATCAATTTCACTGCATCAATTGCTAAATAAATAAGTGTAAACAAAGAAAAGTAAAAACAACAACATATAGTTTGTTTTGTAAACAGCTGAGTCAAAAATAAAATAATATAAAAAAAGAACTGATCACATGTTGAAGGAATTTAAAACGTAAACATGCTAGTAAAGCTAGTGACGTAATTAATTGTCTATGTTTATTATCCATACCGTTATCAGTTCTAATATCCTTGATAATTAAACCACCCTCATTGAATCAATGTACATCGTAATTCCCCATATTCATTTATTTGAACTATAAAATATTCAGCTCCTCCAAACGTAACCACAACTAAACACACGCCAAACAACTTTTTAAAACGTGTAAAAAATGGATTTTCCTACCCTTTCCTAAAAAAGTTGAGCAGTATAATAATTTGCATATCCTTTTTTTAAGACTCGTGTACAGAGCCTCGACTTGTATACATCCATGGTGTTACTTTTCTCGGTGGTCTACTAATCTTACTTATTTCCTAAAAATCAATGACAAATCAGAGTAAATAAAATAACCTCATAACTGGTACTACAGAGCATTTTCTATCTAACCAGCTGTTAGTTAAAAGAAAATTAGATTGCACTAAAACAAACCGAAGATTACAAAGATTTATTTAAAAAATCCTTTAAACATCCTAGTATGTTACCTATGTATATTTAAATAATCTGTCATCCTCTTATCGAAGGATTGAATGTATCAATGATTAGCATTACACACAGTATAAATAAGTGAACCCTTAGTATGTCTTTTAATTTTATCCAAATGCTGAATTTGTGTTACAAACGCTGAATGTTTACAGCTGTTATGTTAAACAAATTATATTACACCAAAAGCTAGTTTAGAATCTTAGCGTCGGCTGCTAGACTTTTCAAAAATTAAAACTTAATTTATAAATTACTGGGACCCTAAACTAAAATTATGGCTTCGACATTCCCTAGTTCTCAAAATTATCTTTCTTTCAACACAAAAATCATGAAAATCCGTCGAGTGGTTGATTCAGAATCGTGAAATAAAAAAACCCTGTTTCGTTTTAATATTATAGATGATTAAAATAATAGTTTTTATCTACATGTGATGCATGTTTAACTATTTTAAGACAAATTGGTGTAATCATATTCAGGGCTTAGGCTATTGCCATGTATTTAAGACTTATTATGAAAAGATATTACCATTGAACGATAGTTATATCATATCTCTTAACAGTACTACAATATCCTATTGCTGTTTGGTGACGAATGATGAAGCTAAATAGTAAAAACACACCCTGCACAGTAACATGTTTTAATTCCAATTTGAATGTATCCCTTGTGAGATACGAGATACAACAAAATAAAGTAATTGATAATTAAATTATTTTCTTAGCAATTCCAAGTTCGGCCATCGACAACTATCGTTACCGGCACCGCTCGTCCTTGCGATACGGTGTGCCCAGCGGGACCTCCGGGGCTTAATGGTACAGAGGTGAGAACCTGGATATGCTAGGAGGTAGTTTTTTTTTGCTAAACAGAATGTTTTAAAGTTTTAATATTTCTTTTCAAATTATTTCATACTTCAAACACAAGGTTTATAAAAATACATTACATTCTATGTTTACATTTTGTATGAGAATGTAATTTTTTCTGTTTCATTAGTTGTGAGGTACTTGTTTATGATGTATTAAATAAATACATGCATTTTAACAAGTCAAAAATAAAGAAGATAACACTCTTCAAATAAAATGTATATATATATCTTATTTAAAATATAGTATCAGGGGACTGAGCCATGGCTCGGTATAGTTTATTTTGATTTTAATCAAAATAAAAGAACCTGATGTTTCATTTACAACTAATTTTGGCTTTTATTATTTAAGTTTTGTTAAAATTTCAATTTATAATAATGGAAATTTTAACCTATTATTTTAACAACAAATTAGTTTATTTTACAGTCGATGGTAAAAATCACAAATATATTCCCCTGGTCTTTGGATCCTAAACGTAAAATTTTCACAAATGTTTAACTGTTAGTATTGTAGGTTTGAGATTTAAAGGCGTTTAAAGTCATTGATTGACCTAATGCAACATTTTTTTACTAATTCTAGGGCAAGAGAGGTCCCCAAGGACCAAGAGGAGAGATGGGACTACCAGGATTTCCCGGAAGAGATGGATCACCAGGAATCAGAGTAAGTCACAAAAAAAGAAATTTCAAATAAAAATGTAAGCCTGGAATCCAAGCTAACTTATTATCAATTGATTTTATTTTGAGCATGGAATTTCTTTGTATGATGGTGTCAAATTTTAAATCTGTAATAAATTTACAAAATAGATTAGATCCTTCCCTTCAGATATTTATATTTTATAAGATATCAATCATCTTTCATTAAAATTTTGAAACACTACTGAAAAGGCACATCCAATATATTGCTGAAGTTTATATCAGCACTGATGTTTGTTAATGATTTATTGTGAGTGGAATTTTTAAAGATACTGATGTAGGTACTTAATAAAATTTGTTTGGATTTATTGTTAAGTTAAATAATTAGTAGTTTGAACATCAAGGTTGAAATCCAAAATATCAAAAATAAAGGAAACAAGGGAGACAAAGGCAAATGAAATATTTGGAAATGTTTTTTTTTTTAAATATGGTAAGATTGTCTTAAATATTTAAGCATTTTATACAAGATTTTAAATTAATTAAAATCAAAATGGCAGTTTCCATTAATTACTACTTGAATTAAAAGCCACAAACCTTGAACAAATAAAGTATGGGTAGGGTACGGTTGAATTTTGTTTCTAAAACGGTGGGCCAGTTTCTTAAACGACAAGTTTCATATGAAAAGCATTTACACAGAGGTACAGCAAGTACAGGCAGCAAAATATACTTCCTTCTGAGCTTTCTACCTTTAATTTAAGGAGACCAACTTCTGCATGATAAAACTGAACGTAAGTTTTGTAAAATGGGTAGGTAACTTAAATTGTTCATGACCTTTGTTTAAAAAATCGCCAAATAACCAATTATATTTACATTGTTTAGATATTTAGATTCCAACAGAGTGAGGCTTTCTTCCTCAGGAGTTTAATGAAGACCATCAACAATTTATTTTATAATGATATTCTCTTTATAACTTTCTCCTTTTGCCCAGGGACCTACTGGAGTTCCGGGTTATCCTGGTCCTTCTGGACCTCCCGGACCTCCTGGAATATCTGGGATACCGGGATTGCCTGGACCCAAAGGTAACATTGTAAGTATTTGTATGAATTGGTTGGAGGTTTTTTATCAAAAAACTGTTTCTATGTGTTCTATGTAACTGTGTCTACTAGTAGTCATCATATTGATTGTAGGGTTCGCTTAAAATGAGTGAAAAAGGTAGACATCTACTGTTTCTGTCAACTAGCTGGTTGTTTTGTCATCGCCTTAATTAGGTTCAAAATTCCTTTTAAATAACAACTATTTCATATTTCATGTGTTTTAGTAACTGCTTTATGTATTAAAACTTGTATTCATTTAAGACATAACAAAAGATTAAAACTGTTCGACAAACAAGTTTTCTCAGCCTGCAAGAACTCTACAGGACTATATGTATTATTTTGCCATTGGCTATAGTTTACACATTCAAACTCAATTTTAGTTTTAACAATCTGTTTTACTGTATGTTAATGTAGTGCAACAATATGATCAATGATATACTTGTCCAGGGCGAGCCAGGATATCCGGGATTGAAGGGAGATAGAGGAGAGCCTGGATTGTCAGGAGCTCTTTTGGGTGGAGGAGCAGCACTCTCTGGACCACCGGTAATGATAGCTTTTATTCATGTCCCCATTACCAGGGCCGGATGTAAGTACAGGCAAACTAGGTGCCTAGGGGGCCATACCCCAAAAACATTATGTGAATTTAAAAGAACTGCGTACTAAAATTAAATAGCCACATAAACTGTGTAACATGTCTACATTGTGTGATGAAAAAATCATATCTTAATAGACACTGCTGCGTTGTCAGAAAGAGGCGACGTGGGCTAGATGTCAGGTGACTAGAGCCGCTACATCAGAATGATGAGAATCGTATTGCAGGGCTGCCGGTGGGATTCGGGCTGGCATGATGACTGTGAGTCAGAGCAGATGGTAACCATTTGTTCAGCACAAAGATCGTTCTCCAAATTGAAACTATAGTATTGACTCAGTACATCTATGAGATACTGCACTTTTATCCTTGTTAAGTATCGAAAACCTTGAAGTAGGTTAAATATGATGATGTTGGTAGGCCTACCTTTATTGATTTAAAATTAAGAAATCCTAACCTCTGTACCAAATTAGTTTTACATATATCAAAATGTTATGCAAAAATATAGATTATCTTATTTTATATGAAAAGTTAAGCACAAAAAGGACTTTAAAAATTTGAGATTTTTTACAACATTTTCCTCCGGACCCCACCCCCGTTATGGGGTTACCTCGATGGGGTTATTCCATATCCCCATGCCCCCTAGAGGGCCGGGGCCACAAACTCAGTCTAGGGGCCCACAGACCCTAAATCCAGCCCTACCTATTACAAAACGGGAATTTTAAAAAACGATTTACATAATAGAAATCAGTGTTTTAACTGGAGCACTCTAAGAATGTCTATGTGTAAAATAACAAATTTCTTCGGTGGACAAAATTTGTTTGGTCTCGTCAAATTAGATGAAAAAGTATTTAAAAATAAATAGGCCTGCAATATAAATGAAGCTAGGATTTAGTCATTGTAAAGTTCTATCTAATGAAATAATATTTTTTTCTCAATCTTTCAAGGGATCTCCTGGACTTCCGGGTGCTAAAGGGGAACCTGGACCAACAGGGATTCCTGGACTTCGGGGAGAAAAGGGGGAAAGAGGAGAAGAAGGACCACAGGTATGTTGATTTGAGATTATGGAAAAACCTAACTGTGTACCTATTTTGCAAGATTTGTTTGCAGTTAAGCCGCGTTTACTTGAAGGCAGTTTGGCAGGCAAGCCACCTGCCTCAGGTAAACTTGAAATACACTGAGGTAAGTAACCTGCCTGCTCTACTGGCATTATGTAAATGCAACTTTTGTGAAGTAAATCTAATATACTTAATGCGAGGAGAGTTTTATCTGTAATATATCCCATTTTCAGCCTTGACCAATTTTTTACAATGGAGGACGAGGTGTTATTTTACATCCTAATCTGGCAGAGGGGCGAATGGTAACTGAAAATGTCGCTTTGCCAATATACAAAATAGTAGACCTTTTTCTCAGAGTAAACAATTATTTCAGGGGCCGCCTGGTTTGCCAGAGACAGTTTCAAGTATAGAGGGCAACTTTACTGGATTCCCAGGACAAATGGGACTACCCGGACCCAGGGGTGCTCAAGGGGAACCGGGAGAAATAGGGGAACCTGGTCTTCCTGGTGTAAAAGGTACAAGCTATCCCAATCCATATGGAGTATTACCATCAGTGCCTAAATTAAACTGCTAATGTGTCTTTATTCTTTTAGATATTTACAGTGTGTAGCAAAAAATCTGACGGTTGTAAAATGTAAATAACTCTAACGTTTTAAGTGATACAACATGTTTTATTTCTATATTACAGATTGGTATTTACGAACATTTATAACAGTAACTATAAAAGGGTGATTTCGTTCCATTTAAGATTTGAAAATTATGTCTTGCATTCTACTTGCACTGGAATTGTCAAACACTTTCCCTAACATTGAAGAAGAAATGTTGGCTATTTCTTGGCCGGTCATCCAATGTGCGGGCATCGTTTGTGTAAAATCTTGATTTCAGTAGATCCCACAAAAAAATCACAAACTCTGAGACCTGGAGATCGAGCTGGTCACCTAATGTCCCCGAAACGCAAGACAACTCGTCCATGGGACTTGCTTCTTAAGAAGTTCATTACCGTACCTCACCAGCTGTGTGGGCAGTTGCTTCATCCTGCTGGCACCAAATGCTTCTGCAGTTTAAGTGATTTCTGTGTAGTTTGGGAATCAGGAACATAAGTGTTCTGGGACTTGTTTTCCACCTTGTATAGATGTAATAGAATCAATGTTTTCAAGTGTATGATGATTTTGCTCTAACAGCATAATAGTATCTTCTTTTCACCATGTATAAAAAGTAGATACTGATGCATTTTGAAACTGATAAAAATAATATTTTTAGGAGAAAGAGGAGAAACAGGACCTCGAGGGGAACCTGAGGAAAGAGGCATTCCTGGTGAAAGAGGTTTGGATGGTACTCCAGGAGAGAAGGGAGAGATGGGATATCCCGGACCTACAGGTCCTGTAGGACCCACAGGGGCAACAGGACTTGCGGTAAGTCACATAGTAAAAGAATACCCCGTCTTAAGCGAACCTGCATAAGCAAATTGCCATTTGCCTGATTATATTTTCACTTCAATATCTCCTTAAAATGTCAGATTTATTCCCTATTTAAATAGACTTAGTTTAACCTGTTAGATTTGCTGCTACAGGGAAGGTAATAGTTTTTTTTTTTACTTAAGTGAAATATTATTGTTCCGTTTTATATAAATTATTTTTCCAAATTTTATCTAAATGTGCTCATAAACTTGAATATTGTTAATAATTGAACCTGGAAAGAATAATTATTAAAATTTAGATTGACTTACCATACCTCACATGGGGCCTTACCCCATGTCCCCGTAGTTAGCCCGCCATGACGTCTTCTTTCTCCGCACACACACACACACATGACAACAAGATGGTCGCTCGGCTCACCTGATCTGCCGCCGCGCATGCACGATTGATAGACACATGGGGTTTTGACATGGCTTGACCCAAGGACTATTTTACCTTATTTGGCGGGCTATTTAAATGGTTGTGGAGATTGGGCTCCACAAAATCTCCCCCCCCCCTCCCCCCTGCAGCCAAAGAGAAGAGAGTGATCCCCGTCAATAGGTCTACATTAGCAGTTTGATTCTTTATATTACTAATAATGGTTTACCTTAGTGGAAAATCTTATAAAGATATGGTGTTGCTGAAGAGTTCAATCTATAGAGTTTTGCAATGTCAAAATAGCATGTAAAATTTAAAATAATTCATCATCTAGGGTCCTTCAGGGCCTCCAGGAGTTCCTGGAGCTCAAGGCGAACCTGGACCACCAGGAATAGATGGAACTCCTGGAATTCCCGGATCGGCTGCTGCAGCGGGAGATCCTGGACCACCTGGAGTAGCAGGGCCTCCTGGGAAACAAGGACTTGAGGGGCCTCCTGGATTGAGAGGGGAGAGAGGGGAGCCGGGAACACCAGGAATACCAGGAAGTGACGGACTGCCTGGGCTTGTAGGAGAGATGGTGAGTATGAGGACTTCATGGTTGGATAACAGATTGGGAATTATTGCAGGGCGAATATTAGTAACCCAAAGCTGCTCAAAACACACTTGCTTTAATCTTTACAATCTACATTACCCAAGAATCTGGTGAACAAATCAATGGTCCCTGAAACACTAAATTTAAACATTTTTTTAAACTAATAATACATTGTTTAATTTAATTTGGTTCTGATACATTTTTTATGTGTGATTTAGGTACCGGTACATGTTCAACTGATTTTTTGCTCCCCACACTGTCCGCCTAGTTAGATGTTAAAACTTTGAAATAATGTTTTAAGGCTGAATAAAAATTTCTTCTTGAAACCAAACTCTTTTTTATAAAAAAATATATTATTCACATATATGATGTTCCAGGGCCCAGCAGGCGAAAGAGGTGATCCTGGACTTCGAGGAGCTGTGGGACCTATGGTGAGTAAAAAGGAGTTGGATTTGTGAAAAATCTTCTATTTTAGTCAAAAAATTTCATTTGAGAGAGAATTTAAAAAAAGGTCAGCAAACATAACAAAAACACTGGGAAATAGTGTTTGCACAATAGCGATTAAAATTGTAACTTGCAGTTTTGTATGTAATTTACTGTACATATTGTTACATGAGACATGTACCATTGACTGGAGTAGACATAGTGATAGTGGAGTAAACATACCATCTACATGAACCAGTGCTGTAGCCTGTGTTGAAAGTTCGTTGTGGATGGGGCTAGGTTTTGGAGTAAGAACTTACTGCAAAATATAAACAGGCTTTAATCTGTCTAATCACTTTCACATTTTTACCATGGTGAAAAAAAAACATTATTGTCATAGTTTTCTCATCACAAGTTATGACTAGGTCCAGTGTATGGTGGTGGTAGTAAATGGCTTACAGTGTCATCTTGCAAAAATATGTAGGTTCACCGTTTTAACTCTTGAAAATCTAAGGTCTTTGATAAATCATGCCAAGATGTAGGTACAGGTCTTAATTTGAAATGTGACGTCGTAAGTGACTGAATGACTATTTATGGGTCTTCTTCAAGAGCTGTCGCTTGAGGTAGACCTAGAAGCTCACCAGGTAGATGGAGTTGGTACCCAAAAGCTAATTCAGCATTAGATGTCTGAAAGTCTTTACGATAGTCGCTGTGAATGGCGTGGCAGGTTGAATCGGTGTGGCACGAGAGCTGCTTTAAGCTGACGATGGAATCTCTCGACTAACCATTAGCACAAGGGTGATAGCTGCACGTTCTGATTCACTCTGCACCAAAGGTCTTTCCAAGGACATGAAATAATGCTGACTCGAGTTGGCGTCCTTGATCAGTACTGATGCCCAAGGTGAGCCGTAACGGGAAAACCAGCACACTACTAGAGCCTCAGCTACTTCTTCGTCAGTGATGATTTTCGATGGATGAATTTCTGGCTATCTGGTATAGCGGTCGATAGCTGTCAGGCAATAGGGTTTCTGTATGGTCCCGGATGGTGGAAGTGGTCATGATTCAAATGTGAACATTGTAAAATTTTAATGACTGAAGTAAAAAGCGATCCATGGTGTGTATGAAGGCCTACATGATGGGTGATCTTAGCACGTGGACATTTCTCACAGGCTAGAGCCCAGTTTCTACAGTTTTGATGAATTCTGGGCCAAACAAAGCGATTTGACAAGTGTTGCGAAATCTTTAATGCATGTCTCAGAGTGTGTATTGAATTAAACACTGAGCGTCTAAGGGACTCAGGGACAAAAGGTCGTTGTAGAAATTGTATTGTCACAGTATACATCTAGAAATCTTACAGGAATATTGATGAGCTAGAGTAATAATACAACTATAGACTAACCAACACAAGTAGACTTCCCATACCATTGTAAATTTTGAAGCTCGTTTTACGTGTCTAGTTCGTGTACGGTGACACTGGGCGCTAGTGTTGACGAATTTTTGTTTCTATTATTTTAGGGTTAATTTCTTGATTTGTGCTTTACCATTTGATTATATAACTAGGGGAAAAGATATTGTTTATGATTAGATCGTATTATTTGGTTAAATGAGGTTTTAAATGACTGTAATAACGGGAAACAAATTGTAAACAAAACACGACCTCTACATAAACCGTACAGAACTAACAATAAAATTGTCTTCAGCTGTTCCATAAGGATGAGAAATGTACTAAGGGAGTATGTTTTATCTATGATACACTATAGCCTACTAAAAAAATAAACAAACAACTAATATTCATCGAACAAAACATATGTTTGGAAAAATTTGGTCTCCTGCAGGATAATGCACCACAAGACAATCTGTTTGGCTTTACAAATAATTATACTTTCCCTAGTTTTTATTGGTCACTATTCCCATTAATTGGCAATATCTATCAGTGCCCTCTGTGTTAGCATCAGAAGATTTGATCAAAAAATCAAAAATCCTTTTTCAGGGTCCCCAAGGACTACCTGGACCTGAAGGACCTCCTGGTCCTGAAGGAGGGAAAGGAGAGACAGGACTTACAGGAGACCAGGGACCTGTAGGACCTAGAGGACTGCCTGGGGTAATGGTGAGTTACTGGGTGCTTAACTGTACCATTGACATATTACACTTCATTCTACATTTTGTGATGCGAGTATGCTAAAAACTATTAAGAACCTCTTAGTACAACATATATACGTTTCACCATTGACAAGAACAATTAAATATAGACCGACAGCCGTGCTGCGGTTAGCATAGGTTCTGGTATCCACCACTGGGAGCGCCGTGTAGTTACATAGCGCGTACACCGTACTATTTGTCGCTCCGAGCAATGGACGCCAGAACCTATGCTAACTGCAGCACAGCTGTCGGTCTATTAAGGACAGCTGGGCTCCACTTCCAGCCATCTAACAGTTTCTGACTTTTCACAATATGAAAACAGCAACCTTTTGGTTGTCAGGTGAGCAATATAACCATTAAGCTACTCAGCTGCATTCCAAGTTTTTATTAATATTTAAAAAGTGTTTTTGAGTATCAAAAACTTTCTTGGATGTTCTCTGGGTCACTGAATAAACTCAATGCAAGGTAAAAAAATTATGAGTTTACCTAGCCCAGTGATGGATAGGAAAACACCCTGTAATTTTTATCAATAAAGTGTTGAATAAACTCACTACCTCATCAGTAGCTGTCTTAGACTCTTTCACCTTAGTATAACACTTACCCAGGAATTATATGTGTAGTCCCACCTAAAAGAAAAATACCCCCGCCGCAGCAGACCTGCAGACTAAGCGAATTTCCATTTGACTGATTGGATTTACACTGAAATGTCTACTAAAAAATATAACATTAATTACCTATTTAAATAGAATTAGTTTAACAAGTACTTAGGTTTGCTGCATCAGGGAGGGTAAAACTGTTTTTTTTTTTTTTTTTTTTTTGTAAAATGTTAATAGTTAGTAAGAAATAAAAACATTTTCCAAATTTGATCAAAATAGCTTCATAAACAAGCAAACTACAACAGTTTACTTATCCTCCATAAGAATAACATAGGAATTTTAAATTTACAATTTTTTGGAATTTTCTCCGTAACCATTAGGCGCATAATAACGCTTCAATATACTAAATTATTTGTTTTTTTAAGCTCTACAAAATGGTTTGGAAAGAAATTGCTAAATTTTATGTTTTTTGGGTCAAAAATGGGAAAAACCTATTTTTACCCCATAAAACGCCCCGTAAACCCCCGTTCCCCTGGTCCGATCAAGCTGGATCGCGAACTCGTTCGAATAAACGTAGGTTTACACGTTTGTACCAAATTTCATCAAAATCGGATCATTTTTGCTCGAGTTATCGTGCTAACGGACACATATATATATATATATATATATATACACGGCCGCGCCCGGGAAGCCAGTCACATAAAATATACACTGGAAGTCAGTCAGTTGCACCCCCCAATATATTTCAAGACTATGATATATATATAATATATATTGGTAAATATCTTAAGCCTAGACATATCTGAACGTATATATCTCTTTTTTTCCTAAAAATACTAAAATATAATTACGTAAAAAATGCTATGCTAATGCAGTCACCACCGCATTTGCATGGGAAAGCCAGTCACGTAAAATTTGTGCTGCTAAGCCAGTCACTATATATTTTACCGCATACCACTGGAATCCAGTCACTGAAAATCCACCCGGGTATCCTGTCACTTCAGTCACTTTCACCCCTGCCCTTCTACTTTGTGATATTTATTTGTTCTACAAGCTTGAAAATTCGCACCTCAAACAAACGGATTATGCTTCAGGCATTGAGCACTCTCATAACCCATCTTTCGCACTTCATTTTAATTAGTTGTCTTCCAGATTACTTAACAATTACTATACTACAGATTAAATACCTAAATTGCAATGTAATCTTTGGTCGTCTTAATAGTCGTCCTGGCAACTGTGGATACAAATATGTACCGAACTAATTCGCAAGCGCATAGTGGGAAGTTATTGCTTTATAGTCGCACAATTAGGCCTATTATTGAGTCCTTGGAGACAAGCGGCCATCTTGGATGATTTCAAATAGAAATTCTTGTCTCTTTTGTGGCGAGAGGTCGGGGCGGGCCTAACGGGTTCCATTGATGGGCTACCCGGCTACCGACCGACCTGGGGTAGCGACTAGCGAGCCAGTGGATGGTTAAAGGTTCTGCCGGTTATTTCCATCTTATTGCTGGTTCTCGAGCTTTTTGAGCTCGTTGTACAGTGAAATCTTACTTCCCTATTTTATATAGCCACAATCAAAGCGATTTTTACAAGAAAGAATGAAGATATAGACTCAGTGATGTGTGGTTACTTAATTAAATCATGTTCCTTGTAAGAGCCAATAATCAATCAACTTATATTTATTTATTTTTTGATTTATTATCTATATCAATTCAAGAGGTAGCCCTGTACCTGGTTAACAAATATACCGTTTACATTTAACGTGTTTTCTTTGAGTTACGCCCCATGGGATTCCAATCCAAAGTTTCACAATGTTTACATTTTTGAAGAATGTAGATAACAGAATGTTTAACGTAGTCAGCTGTAAATGCTGTCAATGCAGTGCTTTGATTTTGCGGTCCAAAAGGTAGAAACGATTCGATTTGTGAAACTTTTAACTCTTGCTACGGGCCTGTTAATTGGAGATTGTGACTTTCTTAATTTAAGGAAGTAAACGTATTAACATGACGTGTTTGGAGTGGGATTTGAAATATGTGACGTGTATCAAACTTTTTCTCTTCAAAATCCTCTCCGATGTAAAACACAGGTACGGCAGCTAGGTTTATTAGAATTCAAAAGTTTTTTAATTGTCCTCCAATGTTTAGAAATTATTTTTCGATCAAGTTGTTTAATGAATAAATAATTGTTTTGCCAAATTATGTTTCGAAACCAGGAACTAAAAATAAATCAGGAAATAGATATTTTAGTTCAGAATCAAAGCCAATCAAATAGGCCTACGTACTTTTTAAATAAAAACACTGGTCGGATAGTTTTTAACTTTGCTGTTTATTTACTTCAATAAATTTCTAATAAAAATCACCACAGGTACTAATCTATATAAATAAAATTAGAGTTTTGTCTGTACATTGCTCAGAATCATCAATTTTTAGATTATTTTTACGTTTTAAACATTCAAGAATCCGAAAAAAGTTTCATCTCAATTCCGTTATTATCTCAATCATCAATTATTATCTCAATTCCGTTGTTATTTATCTTCCGTCTGTCACGGTCCAAAGGCCATTTTACGCGGCCTTCTCCTGAAAAACGAGAGTACCTATCAAGATCCTCGAATCATTTTAATGCATTCACTGGATTGGCAAAAGTGTCTTTAGCTATTAAAATATGGCCTCACTACTTTGTAAAAAAACTTACGGACGTTTAAAACCCAATTTTGTGCAATTTTTGTCAAGTTTTCTCACAATGTTTATCACATAACCATCATATGAAATAGCGAACAGCTGTTCGGATCAAGATTATTTTTCTCTAGCTGTCACTGATATGTTTACATTGAATATTGTTTACAAATACCGCAATCATTTCAGATCAAGTTTCAAAAGCAAATCCAAACCAAGTTGGATTATAGCTATTTACATTACAAGTGTAGTAAGAGCGTTTTTACATCACGCAGGTGAAAGTTACCTAAGTGATGTAAACACGCTCTTGCGTAACGTGTAACGTACAAGATTTTACCTGACCCAACAATATACAGGAGGTTACGAACAATATTTTTCATTACCCATTTCACTCATCTTATAACAGTAAGGTTCATTTACAAACAAAAGCTAGGTTAGGAAAATTCTCCAAAACATAACAATAACAATAAAATTCAAGCACACAGCTGATTTCTAGCGTTAAACGTCGTTGACTCCATAGAGTTATATTTTTTAAGTTATCCACTCAATGTTATTTAAATGGGTTTCATTACATCACCGAGTGAGTTTTTTGATACTTTACATCACTCGAGAAGTAAGGAAGTTGTATACATCACGCTTAGGATAGGGAAGTTTAACATGGCGGGTTAGGTAAAAACCGTTTTTCCTTACATAACGGATTTAATTAATCGCAAGTGCAATAATGTGTAGGGTAATCGTAAATGAAAATAGAGCTTCTTTGTGTATACAATTTCTATTGAGTTTTGGGTTGATAACCGGGAAAAAGACATTGACTCAGTGTTCTATATGCCTGGGAAACTTACATTTTTTACATAAGCGTTACCAATAGCTTACATATAAGGTTTCAACTCGTTGAGGGCACTTCAATGGTGGTTGTGTAAAGTGTTTGGAGACAACTGCAGTGGGTGATTGTAACAGAGGTTTACGGATTATGCTCAAATCGTATTTCTAATGTGTCTTCTCAACGCTATGTGCTGCTCACTGGACCATACGTCCAATAGACCAATTATCCATCTCTTGGGTTCGTAGGCTTAAACAATTAATAATAAGTTGGTAGCGCATATTACTCAGTGTTCCGTACGGACAGGACAAGAGCACCTTTGATAGTGAAATTTCCAACCTGAATGTTTAATGGCGAGGTTGAGGTATAGTATTTTAACTATATATCGTTTGGTTAGTTAGGTAAGGTTAACCTAACCTAATTAACCAAACGATATCAAATTAAACAATCGAATAATCAATATTACTCATTTAGTTGGTTGTGCCAACAGATGTGGAAGTGTACCCCTCATAGATCTATTACGCATTTTTTTTTTTTTACTTAAAACTGTCAGATACTGTATTTGTTTGTATATACTAGTTTGGCCAGCATATCTGAAAATATGCAAACCAATAGTTGTTCTTCATTTAGGAAGGTTTCAACTGACCACTAGAGGATCCCCGTACGTAGAACGGGCACACAGCTAGTAATTAATATTTTATTAATACATCTTATCTTACTAATATTATAAATGTGAAAGTTTGTGTGTTTGTTTGTTTGTTTGAAGTTCAATCACGCATTAACTACTGGCACAGAAAATATAATGTTTTTGATTTATAAATAATTTGTCATATTGTGCGATTCTTTGGTGATTTGCTTTTTTCTGCTGTTTAGGTGCAGT